CGTGCGCACATTCCATGTGCCAATAGTGATCGGTGTCACTCTAAGTTTTGTTTTTGTTCGACCGCTTTTATGGGATCCCCGCCAGCCGCGGTATGCTGGCCAGGGTAAGGTGAAGCAGGCAATGTTTAGGGCACCTTTTCTAGCCCCCTCCTCGTTCTACGGAGGTAAGCAGTGCAATCCTGAATAGGGCTGCTCAGTCGCTCAAGAAGATGCCGAGCTCCACTGCTGCTTCGGTCAGTGAGGAACGACCATTATGCCTGAGCCGCCTATGTGCAGGTCCGCGGCTACAACTCCCAGTGTATCCACACCTGCTGCTTCGTTGCTCGCCCATCTCATATCATATCATATCATATCATATCACATCATATCAAGTCCTGTGGCGATGGGAGAGCGACAGTCTATAAGAACCTACATGGAGAACAAATATTTGTTAATGGGTTCTTCAAACTAGCAGACAAAGGTATAATGCAAGCCATTGGCTGGAAGTTGAAGCTAGACAAATGCAGACTGAAAATAAGGTATACATTTTTAACTGAAAATTAACCATTGGAACAATTTAACAAGGGTTGTGGTGGATTTTCCGTCACTGGCAATTTGAAAATAAAATTTTGATGTTTTTCTAAAGATCTACTCTAGGAATTGTTTTGGGGAAGTTCTATATCTTCTGTTATACAGGTGGTCAGACTAGATCATCACAATGGTCCCTTCTGGCCTTGGAATCTATGAATCTATTAATTGTTTCTGGAATGTTAGTCTGATGCATAATGTGAATGCATCCTATCTTGTTATGCACAATAATACTTGTAGGAAGTATTACACATACAAAATCGTACTATGTTCTCAATGTTACAACCAGCAAGTTTCTAAAGTGCAAAAAAAAAGTTCCATTACATGAGTACTCCATTAAGGTGTAAGATCTGAATTCTAATCTATGAAACTTTAAAGCTCTCTTTGCTATAGGATTTTTTCTGTAATGGGTAAAATCTAGTCAGTGCTCAATTACTGAATACAAAAGTTTGAAAAGGAAAGTTTAGCAATTAGGAATGAATTATTTCAAATGTAATCAGCATTTCAAACTTTGGCATGTCCTTTTTGTTATGCTTCACTAATAAGTTGCTTGTTTGGTTCAGAAAATTAAAGTGAAAACCCTGTTGTTGTTTTTTTATAATTGGTAATTGTTCAGGATTTCATGTTATAATTAGTCTGGGTAAATAGCATTTTCCCCTGCACTAGAACAGCCAGTCTGCATTCAGAATATCAAAGCCGTTAATCAGTGCTGTTCCTTATTCAAATTCATTCAGTAGTATTGATTTTCAACATTTGCATTGGTTTCCACTAGTGAAGTCTGATAGTCATCTATGGTGGCCTATTAAAATAAAGGGTTATCCTGATATTATTTCTTTTTTAATGTGGGGAGGAGGATGGGTGGTCTTTAGAGGCAAAAGCACAGCACTAGGAACCAGGAGACCAATCTGCCGCAGGACATAAATATAGGAGCTTCCATTGACTTCAATGGGAGTTTTATCTTGTGGCAGGAAAATAGGGCCCCAAGATCCTATTTTTGCCACTGCCACATACTTTTTGAGAGATCTTAGGCTAGTTACTTAACCTCTCTGTGCCTCAGTTATCCCATCTGTGAAATGGGCACGATGAGCCCTACTCCATAAACATATTTTGAGGCTTCATTCTTTTAGTGTTTGTAAAGTGCTTCAGGATCCTTGGCTAGAAGACATTATGGAAGTGTAGATTACTATCATGATACTGTATTTCTTATGTCACTCGCAGAATAGAAGTAGAGATGTGATTGTTTTGTCGGTGGTTAGTTTCAACTCTTGTCTGGTTTCACATATCCGATTTAGTGGCAGTAATCAGGTAACAGAATGCCTCTTAGTGTAAACGAATCAGCAGAGGAAGGCAGTAGTGCTGTAAAGAGAGAGTCACACAGAAGCAAATTTGTACAGAGAGATCATTTGTACAAAAGGACTTCTCCTACATAATTTCTGTTCCCTGGCTGCTGTCAAAGAGATGTGTACTTCAGATAAGAATTTTCCCACCTTAGTCTGTTGCTAGTTTTGCTTGTTCTTTCAGTGAAGTCATAATGCTATTGTGGTTAACATCAATCTGTTGCTATGGAGATGACTGTGATGTCATAAACAAAGCATTATGACTTCACAGTAGGAAGAACAGATGGTCTGTGCCAGAGCAAACTCCAGTATAAACAACAGAGATAATCATGTCTTTGATAATTTATTTAAAGTGGCAGTGGAAATTATTAAAAATGTAGAACGGCATTGGTTCTAAATGAAATTCTCTAAAAATACAGTAGTTTAGCGAGAGAGAGAGACAGTATATACTCTATACTGATGGCAGCTGGACACACTCCTTCCACTTTTGTTGTATAACTTAAGTTTTATACTTTTTAAGTGAGTGTTTATACAGGAACATCTGCACTGTTTAGCCCTTAGTCTCATGACTAAAGCATATTTAAGATATACAGGTATCACAGCAAGTTGTTATATGTTGGTAATACTTTGCACCTAAGTAGCAGTATTACTTTTGAGGAGCTCAGAACACTTCAATAACCATTGTTTCACAACTCTTCTACAAAGAATTTTGTTCAATTCTTTAAACATATAAAGACATCCAGTTCAGCAGCTCACATCAAGTGTAAGGTGCTTTTAGGGCAGAATGCTTTAACTCTGGGGCTGAGCTAAAATCCCTAAAGGGTGAAAGATTCCTGCTGAACCAGCTGGCCTTATGGGAGCTAGTTGGCTGGCTGTAAATAGGGAAACCATCCAGCAGGCTTTGAAGTCTGTCTTCAGGGACCTGAGAGATTATTCTGTGGAGTTTGGTCTTTAATCATATAAAAAGAAAAGTAACTGCGTAGGTATTTTCTTTTGCAAAATTTTTCCTATGTTAAATCTCCCCTTACATGGTTTTAAGGAAGTGATCATGTAAATCCTACAGAATAAGACTCCTGGACTTGTGTAATACTTATAGCAGAGATACTTGTGCATGCTCCTTAAAATCAGAGCTTCTGCAGCAAGCATGATTTTACTCTCTTTTCAGTGTCCTTAATTGAGAGTACTCTGCTTCCTGCTTAACTTGAAACTCTGAGCCAGCACCTCTGAGATCTTTGGATAATTGAGGTTACACTGTATAGCTCTTTTACAAATATAATTAAAGCACAAGGCATTTGCCCATGGTACCACAGTAAGTCCATAGTGGACCCAGGAATAAAACCTAGGAGTCCTGCCTCCAAGTCCTGTATTTTAACCATTCGATCACATTAAAAAAAAAATCTGGAAAATGTATTTTAAAGATAGTCTGTTCCTTAAATAACATTGGAGTTAATGCTTATCTTATTCTGCTGTTGTAGTACAACAGGGTTTGGATCCCTGACAACGAAGAAGTTTGGCAGTCTGCTGAAATCACAAAGAACTACAGAACAGGAGACCATGTGCTTCACCTACTATTAGAAGATGGAACGGTAAGAAAAAATAGACATAGTTATTTCAATTTTTAATGAGAGGCTGGATTAGATCACTGGTCTGTGTAGTCCAGGATGTTGTTTCTGACTGTGGCCAGTACGATGTTCTTGATTTTCTTGCAATCTTAGGATTTTCTAGCCATTAAAACTGTACAGTAAGTAGCAATCCCCTAAAAAAATGTAAAGAGCTTAATTTTACCATCCAGTGCTTGTCAGTGTATGCCCCATTGCACTGACAAGGGAAAATGGAGCTATGCCAATTATGGTGTTAGCTGAGGAGCTTGTCCATAATTTTTTTGTAAACTCATTGCTTTAGTATATGATTTGTAGTACATATACAGTAGAACCACACTGTTATGAACCTCTAATTTGTGACACTACTTTTTTCCAAAATACATCGTGAACACCTCCCTAGCCTGAGAATGAGTTATTGTATGTTTCTCTGATTGTCTGAGGTGCAAGGACAGAGATGGGAGTGAAGCTCTTTGTAAGTTGTTATACTGCACCCATCACCTTGGTATCTGTGCAGCTTACAAATTTGTTTATGTAAGCACAAGAAGATTACTATGTTTCTCTTTGCTTTCCCCATTTTATAAGGACTACTTTTTAAAAAATGTGATATAAGCTGAGTTATTGAAGGAAATATAGGTCAGAAAAGTGGGGTGTTACATTTTTTTCGAAGGGCAATGAGGTCCAGGATTATTTTGAGCTCTTTGGGAAGCATGTTCCACAATCCTGAGCCAGTTGCCTCTTCTGCACGCACATGTCACTCTTCAGGATGACCGTTCCATTGTTCCAATAGAATATAGCTGTCATGCAAGGACATGATCATATAGAACAAGGGGCTTTCTTGGGTTATTTGGGTCAATCCCACAGAGGGCTTTGAAGATTAGGGCCCAGATTTTCTAGGACTTGGTGGGGAACGAAAAGGTAACTTTATCTCATCTTTATGTTCCCCACCTAGTCAAAGGTTTGTGATAAGTTAGAACTGTCTTTAGAAGCTAACTTAAGACCAGTTGCCTGTAAGACCATAGGCCATTCCAGCACCTGGGACAGCTGGGAAAAAGGTCACTCCAGCTACACTCATGCTCCCTAAATTGCATTTAAACTACTGCAGAGTTTTTATGTTTAATTTAAACCTCTCATTCTCTGTACTGATTGAAGAGGCTTCATGTAAAAAACACTTGGTATGTTTCAGTACAATATATTAGAGAGAAAGGAAATAAGCCTTTATTTTTATGAGACATTGAGGGGCTCTATCTTGCATTCCTTGTACACTAAAATGACCATGGATGTCACTGGAAGTTAACTGGTGTTGGCAGAATGGAAGATCAGGCACTGATCCATCATCCATGCAACAGTTAGGACAAAGGTAGCCAAAAAGTTCAATATGTATTTACACGTGCGTTTCATGTAATTTGTATTGTCAGGAATTGAATTACCCTGTTGATCCAGCACCTTTGCCACCTCTACGAAATCCTGACATACTTGTTGGTGAAAATGACCTCACAGCCCTTAGCTATCTCCATGAACCTGCTGTTCTACACAATCTTAAAGTTCGTTTTGTGGAGTCAAAACTTATCTACACTTATAGTGGTACGTAAAAACAAACCCAGGGTGTCAGATAAATGATTAAACTAACATTTTAAAAAGTTTACATCTTTGCTGCTGAAAGTACAATAGGATCAGAATTATGTTTTCCTGAAATCTGTTAATTAAGTTTCTTGAAGCCAGGGTGATTTATGCATGAGTAAGGACTGATCCAGTGACCAGGCCCCTGCATAGTGATTAGTTCAGATATGAATACTTTTACTACGCAGCAATTTAGTTGTGGTTGCTCGTTTTCAATACCTTACCTTTTGTTAGGTCTTGTAGAAAATGGGAGGATACATCTGATTTTTGTCCTGTTTATTTTTTCATAGGAATCATTTTGGTTGCAATGAACCCCTATAAACAGTTGCCAATATATGGGGATGCCATTATCCATGCATATAGTGGGCAGAACATGGGGGATATGGATCCACATATATTTGCTGTGGCAGAAGAGGCTTACAAACAAATGGCAAGGTACTGTATGTTTTCATTGTTTAACGCTTGTTTCTTCTAAAATATAATTTAAAAATCTCATGGCAAATACTATTATTTTGTGACATTAATTGAATTTTGTTTTGTAAATGTCCAAGCAGCTAAGATTCCTTTTGTCTGGATAATTTCAAGCAGCCCACCCTCAAAGAGAAGAGAACCTTGTAACCTCTGCGGAGAGGTGCTGAGGGGTAGAGTTTCTGGAACTTACACCCCCTTCTTAATACCTGTCGCGAGGAAAGGACAAAGGTGGTCCTAGCTCAATGATTTGTGTTGACTACAGCCTGCAGGGGACAAACAAAACAGGAGAAGCCAAAAGACCAAGGAGAAGCTGAAAGCTGGCAGTGGTGCTGGTCACAATAACATTTACTCCATGCATATATATACTTTTAGACTATCAAGATATTTAAAATCTCCTTCTTACCGTTCTGTTTTAGAAACAACAGGAATCAATCTGTTATAGTCAGTGGAGAATCAGGAGCTGGAAAAACTGTGTCTGCTAGATATGCTATGAGATACTTTGCCACAGTCAGTAAGTCAAACAGCAATGCGCATGTGGAGGATAAAGTACTGGCATCCAACCCAATAACAGAGGTAAATTTAAGGATGTATAAGTAAAGGGTCTTTATACTCATTAAAGGCTGAATCCTGAAAGCTGCTGAGCTCCTATGGTAAAAGTCAGTGAGCATTCCAGGTATTCAAGTAACTCTTAGGGTACGTCTATACTTACCTCCGGGTCCGGCGGTAAGCAATCGATCTTCTGGGATTGATTTATCGCGTCTTGTCTAGATGCGATAAATCGATCCCGGAAGAGCTCGCCGTTGATGCCGGTACTCCTGCTCCGTGAGAGGAGTACACGGAGTCGACAGGGGAGCCTGCCTGCCGCGTGTGGACCCACGGTAAGTTCGAACTAAGATAGTTCGACTTCAGCTACGTGAATAACGTAGCTGAAGTTGCGTATCTTAGTTCGAAGTGGGGGGTTAGTGTGGACCAGCCCTTAGTAAACTATATACATTTTAAGAGCCCAGTCCTGTGACATGCTCTGCTACATCAAAAATATTCAACAAACACGTGCACTTTTTTCCATGTCACAAATATGTTTAATTTTCTTGCAAATGTGAAGTATTGAGTATAATGTATATGCCAGTAACTATCCAGAGGGCTATACTTATTGTTTTATTACAGTTTTGTGCTGTCACACTTTTCATGTCACCATCTTCTCCTTTAACCACTTTTTTTCAAAAACTAAATTCCTTCTTTTCTGACTGGAACCATCTGTAATAACTCAGCAACAGCACAAGCTAATGTGGGCGTTAATGGATAATTGTAGGTGGTCTTGAACTCAGTCTAGGTGATGGCAGATAGAAGTCCATATTAAGTCATCCAAATCACAGGTCTGATTTTTCGGAAGTTCTGAGCACCCACATCTCTCTCTAATTTCTGAGTGAGATTTGAATCTCAACACCTGAAAATCAGGTCACTTTATTTAGGTTCTATATTTTGGAACCCAAACTTGAAAATGTTTGCCTTTATCTTTTTATGTATATTTGAAATGTAAATTTTCAAATTGAGACACACACCATCACAAAGAACTTTTGAAAAATAAACAAATGTTTGTATATTGCAGTATGTGGGGGGTTGTTTTATTATTTTGTCTGCAACAGCAGGAAAGATTCTTGGATATATGGTTACAGGAGGAAAGAAGTGGGTGGTTTTGTAGTTGTGGGTAGAAAAAACTTGAGACTCCCATCCACAAGAGAGACTTATTTATTTTAGTGCTTAGTTTGTATAGAATTGCATTTAATATATGCATGTTACATTATTTGTCTAGAGACTCTGAGCCTAATTTCCAGACTTGGGCCTCATAAACATCCAAATCCCATCTCTGGATGTTCGGATTGATCCTTAGGCACATAAAACTTTGGGCATTTATGCATCTAAGTCATATTTTGAGAGAGTTACTCCTCTTTAGATGTTCACATTTGAAAACTGGACAGCATGAATGATTCTGTTGACACAGACTGTTTGGGCATTAAAGAGGTTCACCATGTTCGTAGGCTGTAGGCAATGCGAAAACCACACGCAACGATAATAGCAGTCGGTTCGGGAAATACACTGAAATCAGTTTTGATCAGAGACACCAAATCATTGGAGCCAACATGAGGACGTACCTGCTTGAGAAATCCAGAGTTGTCTTTCAAGTAAGTGAAATAAAGTTTAAAAAGCCAACTTCAGTGAAATCACTGTTGTACAACTCGTTTAACTTTGTTAGGTGAAGTATTGCATAATTTGTATTAATCTTACTGTGTACCTTTGTTTGGAATAGGAGTCTAATGTTATACATATACTGTATATACTCGTTCATTAGCCCGTTCGTTTATAAGCCGACCCCTCCACCCAAGATGGTTAGGTAAAAATAGCAAAAACTGTATGACCCTTTCATAAGCCAACCCTATATTTCAGGGGTTGGCAAACTTTGGCTCCTGGCCCGTTAAGGTAAGCCGCTAGCGGGCCTGAACGTTTTGTTTACCTGGAGCGTTCACAGGCACGGAGCCCCTCAGCTCCCAGTGTCCATGGTTTGCCGCCACTTCCCGCAGCTCCCATTGGCTGGGAACGGCAAACCGCGGCCACAGGGAGCCGAGGAACTCCATGCCTGCAGATGCTCCACAACAAAACAACAATGTATTAGATATTCAATTCAATGATTTCATAGAGTTTAAAATCATCAAATTTTGGTGTAGACCCGTTTATAAGCCGACCCCCGCTCTTTGATGTGTCAGTTTTTTACCAAAAATATTTGGCTTATGAACGAGTATATACGGTATATTCTGTCTCTGCTTACACCATATGGAGGAGAGCAGAAAGGCTCTGATCTCACAGGGGAAAAATGTAGTGAGACATTATGTTCCCACCAATATTGCCACATTGTTTTTTTTTTTTTCCTCTCCAAGCCACAAAAATATAAGTCTGCTCTGTGTGGCCAAGATGGGGCAGGGCCAAGGGAGGAGGAGGAGGAGTTAGGGGATCAAGTGCTCTGTGCAGTACATTGGCCTCTCTGGGCAATGGAGCTTATTTTGAGTCATTCCTAATAGTGGCATAAAAATGAGAACTTACTACGTGGCTTGTGTAGATTTTGAAATTCTATATTTCAGATTGCGGTTTAGAGCTGACTCTTGCGAGAGAAGGAATGAATGTGCATGGGCTGTGTGTTATTTGCATTGTTTAAGAAATAATGTTCATGATATTAGAATACACAATGGAAATGAAGCTGAGGCATTTGATAAGGACAAAATTTTCCTGCAAGTTTACTTAACTGAAATTAACATTATTCCTTTTGTTCAATTAGTTTAGATGGTACAGCAAACCGTAATGTAACTTATTTTCCCCTAGCAAAACCTGTGTTGCTTCATTCTCAAATTTCAAGGTGTCACATTGGAGACTTGGCTAGATTAAGTCACTTATTCGGACAAGTTTAAGTGGAAGAAGAAAGTAGATACTTTGAACCCTCTCAGGTATAGGGTGACCAGATGTCCCGATTTTATAGGGACAGTCCTGATTTTTGGGTCTTTTTCTTATATAGGCTCCTATTACCTCCTACCCCCTGTCCCAATTTTTCACATTTGCTGTCTGGTCACCCTACTCAAGTACTGTGGCGATGGGCTATCTAAATACTTAGACTTCTCTCTGAACTGAATAGTTTGAGTGATTGACAGACTCAGGCACTGTCCAAGCTACAACAATGTTAGAAAACTTCTATCCAAAGTGAGATTTTGGCAATTTGGTTAGCAAAATTTCCACTTCCCACTTTGGGAAGCCATGTTGTTTGTTTGGGGTGGCATAATCAATTGAAATGCTTCTCTTAGATATAAGTGATCAAAGATCTCATTAATTTTAGATGGATTTTTTTTATTTGCCCTGATAAAGCCAGTGTTAATAGAAGCACATTGGAAACATAAACTTTTTTCAGTAACACATAATAGGTGACAGGTTTCAGAGTGGTAGCCATGTTAGTCTGTATCAGCAAAAATAACGAGGAGTCCTTGTGGCACCTCAGAGACTAACAAATTTATTTGGGAATAAGCTTTTGTGGGCTAGAACCCTCTTCATCAGATGCATGAAGTGAAAAATGCCTGTTCCTGTATTTTCACTTCAGGCATCTGATGAAGTGGGTTCTAGCCCACGAAAGCTTATGCCCAAATAAATTTGTTAGTCTCTGAGGTGCCACAAGGACTCCTCGTTGTTTTTACATAATAGGTGAAATCCTTTCAAGGTTAAATTAACAAAACAGGTTGTGGTTAACATTAAACTTTGAGATGCAAAAATTGTAGCATTGAGGAATCTTATTTAACCTATGTTTCTAAGGGTACGTCTACACTTACCTCCGGGTCCGACGGCAGGCAATCGATGTTCTGGGATCAATTTATCGCCTCTTGTCTAGACACGATAAATCGATCCCGGATCGATCCCGGAAGTGCTCGCTGTCGACGCCGGTACTCCAGCTCAGCGAGAGGAGTACGCGGCATCAACGGGGGAGCCTGCCTGCAGCGTCTGGACCCGCGGTAAGTTCGGACTAAGGTACTTCGAATTCAGCTACGTTATTAACGTAGCTGAATTTGCGTACCTTAGTCCGAAGTGGGGTGGTAGTGTGGACCAGGCCTAAGGCTCTAATCCTGCAAACACTTATGAATATACTTCACTTCACTCTCATATATGTAAAGTTAAATGTGTGTTTATGAGTTTGCAGGATCAGGGCCTAATTATGTGTCAGTCATTATTGTATTGTGAAATAATGGTGCTAAAATGGCATGGAAAATATCTGGTGGATGGTTTAGTTGGTTTTTTGTTTTGTTTTGTTTTTTTTTTTACAAAAACACACAAAACAAAATGTTGTACTGCTTGCTTGTAGTTGTGTTTATAATTTCTCAGGTATTCAGAACAGCTACCTCTGTACATCTGTTATCTAACAGATGGTTATAAAAAATAGTTTTGAGAGCTTTCCACTTTCTGTGAATAGTGTTTCAGTTAGCACTCCCAAAGGAAGCGGTGCACATTGCTACATTTGCCGGCCCTTGTTAGTTTTTTAACTGAATCAATTATTAAATTAACAGTTTTGGCAAAGAACTCTGCACACTGACGTGGGGTTTGGAGAGGAAGCGCCCTTGGTTTTGCCACAGCCAAAGAGCTTGCTGAATTCTAAAAGCGTGTCCATTTTAGCATAGGCTATGTTTGACTCAAACTAGATTGCAATAAAATTTACACTTGGATAATCATTCACTCTTCTACAATTATAGTCAAATACCAAATGTTTTCCGTGTTTATTTTTCTTTCTCCAGTATCATGGTTTTCATTTCTTTCATTTGCAGTCAGAGAATGAACGAAATTACCACATATTCTACCAGCTGTGTGCTTCTGCTCTGCAACCAGAATTTAAGCATCTTAAATTGGGTATGTCTCAAGAAAGTAAACTATTCTTCACCTTTGCAGTGTTACATTTTAAGGGTAGGATTTTCAAGAGCCCTAAGTGTCTTAGAGCACAAATCTTATTGACTTTCAGTGGGACCTGTGGGCCAGCGTGTATGTCTACACCGCAATAAAAGTCCCATGGCATGACTGCGGCTGGCCTATGTCAGCTGACTCGGGCTCATGGGCCTCCTGCCCTATGGTTATAAAATTACAGTGTAGACATTTGGGCTCAGGCTGGAGCCTGAGACTTCACGAGAGGGACGGGTCTCAGGGCCCAGGCACTGCAATTTTTAGCCCCACAGCCCAAGCCCTGCAAACCTGAATCAGCTGACCCAGGTTCTGAGACTTGGTGCCACAGGTTTTTCATCGCAGAGTAGACCTACTCTAAGTGGCCTAAGGTTTGAGCCTTCTTACTGTAGTCAGTGGCAAAGCTTCCAGTAACTTTAGAGGTGCAGGATCAGATCCTTAGGTGTCTTTGAAAATCACACTCTTAACACTTTATTTAGTGAATATGCTTGTGAAAGATGCCATATTGACAGTCCTGGGGAGTGAAGGCTTCTTTATTTGTCCACAGAGCAACGACATGGTAAAAGCTCCATGTGAGCTTAAACTGCACTCTGGAAGACCCAGCCTCAAGCATAAAATGGTAGTTCATCTCCCTACCAATCAATCCTTAGCCCTCTGTTAGATTTCCAAAAGGGGTGCTGGTTAGTGTCAGTTGTACTGGTTTTGTTATGTGGATTCCTGTTTATTTCGGCAGTACACTAAGACCATGAGCTCATTTTAGAAGAACTATCGGATGGTAACAGCTTTCACTCCATTTTCATTCATATCTACTGACTTATTGATGAAAGACTCTCTGTCCCACTACCAAGTACATTAATTGTTATAAGTTTTACTTTTCATCTGTAGGGCATGCAGAAGAATTTAATTATACAAGAATGGGTGGCAACACTGTTATCGAAGGAGTCGATGACAGAGCAGATATGATGGAGACCCAGAAGACACTCACTCTACTAGGTAAATGAGAGTACTTGGCAACACACATTGATAAATTAGCAAAGTGAGCTTGGCTCTGAAATGACCAATGACAAACAAGTTTTGAAAAAAACTAGGGAGTATGTGTAGTAGTTACCTGCGGAATTTGTTTGTGGCACTGCTGTTTTGCTATTTGCTTTAATGGGACTTGGCAACATCAACTGGCTATTAGCAATTGGTCTTCATTGTTAGTGGTATAAATTACTTAGAGCTAGAGTCTGACTAGGCCTCAGCCTGGCATGCAGTGGAGGAAAGGGAGTAAGGAGTCTTCCTACCTATTATGTGATCTATTGAAGGGCAAAGCGGAACTGTCCCTGCAGCACTCAAGAGAATACAGGGATTTGTTCCTAATTGCCCTCCCCATCCCCAGAGAAGTAGAGAGTAGGCAGAGTTATAGCTCTGCACAGCAGCCAGCAGTGTCTTCACCAAGTCCTTATAGAATCGCTAATGATTATATACAGTATTGCAAGTATTCCTAGATCATGCTTTTTATTAATGGATATTTTTATTGCTTTGAGTATTTCAAATGAATAGGGATTTTTTTTTAAGGTCTGAAGGAGGATTTTCAGATGGATGTTTTTAAAATACTGGCGGCCATCCTACACTTAGGCAATGTGCAAATGACAGCTGTTGGTGATGAAAAATCTTCAGTCAGTGTAAGACATTTGCTCATTCAAATTATTTGAATAATTGTATTTAGTTTTTTTTATTTGGTGGGTCATTGCCAGTCCTTGCGTATCTTCCCCAGCTACCTGTCACGTCCTTCCTTTATCTCTGTTACAGGCTGTCTTGGGACATCCTACCTTGTGAGCATTCTTTGCCAAGACTCTGTGTAAAAAATACTTGGTCTCAAGTGTGGGGTGCATAAAGCAGCCCTAAACCTGGCAAACTAAGGCCACTTTGGGATTCCTCCTCCCTAGCAGAATCCTCAACTGGTATAGAAGCATGATGGTGGTGTTTATGCCACTCCCCTTCCTCACTCGTGGCATAAAGGGGCTGAACAAAGGGAAGGTGTGTGGCTGAGATATGCCTGCATCCAGCTGATCCCCAGCTTCTGGAATGACCCCTTGGGGCTGTTTGCAGCCTCTGCGAAACAGGTCAGCCTCAAAGCCATTCAGATTTGTGCGATTGGACCACACCAGCACTTGGTGATCCCAAGGTCAGGGAAACCATAAGACAGGTTAAGGCCACTTATGCTGTCCCCAGCCCATATGAGGTGCAGTTTAATTGGTCCATCCCTGGTTGTATAAATGGTCCTCTTCAGCAGTGCTTATTCTAGAAAAAGGTCTATTGACAACGGGAGTTTTGCCTGTGTAAGAAGTGCCTGTGTTATTAAAAACCGATTAAACCAAACCAACAATCATAGGTTGAAATCCCAACCCCAATGAAGTTGGTGGCAAGGGTTCCCATTGAGTTCAATGGAGCCATGACAAAATCTTAGCCTTCGTAATAATCCATTAGTTACAACTTTTTCATAAGATCTAGTAATGTTTATTTTTCTTCTTTAAAGCTGGAGGATAAACATCTCAATATATTCTGTGAACTTCTGGATTTAGACAATGACAAAGTGGCACAATGGTTGTGCCACCGAAAAATTATCACTACCTCAGAGACTGTAATAAAGCCTATGACAAAACTCCAAGCTCTTAATGCAAGGGATGCTTTGGCAAAGAAGATCTATTCTCATCTGTTTGACTTCATTGTGGAAAGAATTAACAAAGCTTTGCATTTTTCTGGAAAGCAGCACACTTTTATTGGTGTTTTGGACATTTATGGGTAAGATTATCTCTGGTGAAAAAAATTATTTTCAGATGATACAACTCTCCTCTGTTTTCCAGTTCTTATTCCTACATATCTGGGAAATATGATGCATTTCCTACAATGAATTGACATCCATTTAATCAAAAGGATGCAGTCTTCTGCGCCATGAAATCTTTTGCATGAAGGGCAATGGGAACTTCTTATTTTGATGAATATCAATATCTCTGTCTCAAGGTGACATTTGATCTTGGATTTAGTACATCTTAGGCCATTGGTCTTTGATATTCACCTTATCAGAAGTAAATTTGGGGAAATCAATTTAAAGTTGTATTGTCACTTTGAGATGGGATGATGCTTCTCTGATGGCTGGTTACATTAGCTTTAGGGTTGCTTTGTTCCACCATTGCAGCCCCATTGCACACCAGGGTTTTGGTCATTATGTCTAAGACCTTGTCTACACTTGCAGCGGTGTGTAGAGTACATGTAGCAACATACTGCAGTGAAAGGCAGGCTGTGTCCACTCTCACTGTGGTGTGTAGCTATATGGGGCAGTGAAAGTTTCCAGCGGTGGGAGGCAGCAGGGGAAGGTTCTGGGAGGGGGAGGCAGTGAGGAGAGGAGACTTTCCCCACTGCTGGAGTCTTTCACTGTGGAGGGGAAAGGCTCTGGCAGCAGGACACTACACTGTTAAAAATAGCAGTGTAGGCATGGGATGCTCTGCTTGAGCATGTAGAGAGCTGTGTAGGGTATATTGCAAGGGTGCAGGCATGTAGGACACTCTACTCAGTTAAGCAGTGCCTCACCATCTACTCTGCTATTTATACCCAGGCTAGCTGGGCGTGCAATGTCTGTACTGTACAGGCCACCGTAAGTGTAGACCGCCGCTAAGAAACAGAAAGTTTAGGAAGTAATTTCCTTATAAGCAGCCGTTTTCTCTCAAAGTCCCATAGGACATTAGCACTCACTTTTAAGTGATCATGTATTTATTTTTTTCTCCTATCTAATAATATCTGCCCCTAATTTTTAAAATGTATTTCAGATTTGAAACTTTTGATGTGAACAGTTTTGAGCAGTTTTGCATCAATTATGCTAATGAAAAACTGCAACAACAATTTAACCTGGTATGTACGTATATTTTGCTGCAGTTGTATGTGTTGATTGGTGTCTTTTTTGTAAAGATTAGCAATACTTAGAAAAGAGATTTTCTTATATTTCAGATCTATACTTTAGTGCATGTTACACAAATATTTTACCTTACCATTGTTTTCCAAATGCCTATATTTTGTTCCTGGGTTATTAACATGTACTTTTCATAATGCTGACATTTTTCATTAATAGCATGTCTTTAAACTTGAACAAGAGGAGTATATGAAGGAAGACATCCCATGGACTCTCATAGACTTTTATGACAACCAACCAGTCATTGACCTTATTGAAGCTAAAATGGGCATTTTAGAGCTGCTAGATGAAGAGTGCTTGGTAAATTTTAATTTTTTATGCTTATGAACTGGTTTGAAAACGTTTCTGCAGGTTGTGTTTCAGGCAGAATTTGTGGTTTAAACCATATTCTAATTCCTTTTAAATTAAGAAGATGAGCACCTTGCTGATGAAGTGATCATTCTCTGAATCTTTGTAATCTTCTAAAGTTGTAAAGAATCTCTATTTGATTATTTTAGTTTAAAACCATTTGCTTTCTTGTTAATTTCTTTTCTTATTCTGCATAAAATTCAAGCTTCCTTTCCTCACTTTCAAGCACTCCCCGACTGTACCAGACCTACATCTCTGCCCTCTTCTCCTTCTACCCGCCCTGTGCACCATCTAGGCTTCTTTTCTCACCATTCCTCTCCTTTTTTCTTTGCCCACTTCTGACTCCATTTTTCCTTCCATTCTGCCACATACCTCTAGAGGCCCTTCCTCTAGAAGGGAAAGGATGGCCTTAGAGGTAAAGGACAGGCATGGGAAAGAGAATCCAAAGTGATTCTGTGTGACCTTGGCAAGTCACTTTTGACCTGATTTTCAGAATCCAAATCCATGCATAGGATGGTAAAAAATTACTGATCAAGCCCAGTGATTCACCCAATACCATTCTCTTGGCCTGATTGTCATAGATCTCTTGGGCAGCTAAATTATGCCTAATTTGGAATTATGTTGCCACTGCCCTTTCAGAACAGGGAGCAGTGTTCATAGCAGGGAGGTCTGCCTGCCCACAGAACTTTCTCAGGTTATGTACCGGGGCTGCTTTATAAGACCCTGTTTCTTCTTAAAATGGTTTGCCCAAGGGAATTTCTGGCTATTCTGAAAGAGATTAAAACTCAGATGGTGTTTATCATCACAACACATTGTATGTCTGTTGCTTGAATAGCATTTATTGGTAGTAAGTAGCTTCCTCATTGTTAACATTCCAACAGTATTTTATTAAACAGCCTCACAGCTTGCTTTTTTATAGTTACCTCAGGGGACTGATGAAAATTGGCTTCAAAAGCTATATAATAATTATATCAACAAGAACCCATTCTTTCAAAAGCCCAAAATGTCAAACACATCTTTTATCATCCAGCACTTTGCTGATGAGGTAGGTGTATATTTTACTGTATTATTTCACCATTTTTCAACCAGCATAACATTCAGAAAGGAAAAAATCTATTAAAATGTAAATGGAATTGTACATGTGCCATCTTTATAAGCTGTATTCAATATATATTGTTATTGTTTTATTATATATATATTAGCTATGGGTAAGGCTGTGTCACGGAGGTCATGAAAGTCACAGATTCCATGACTTTGTGACCTCCGTGACTTCTGCAGTGGCCGGTGCTGGGTCAGGGGGCTGGGGTGTGGGGTAGTGCTTACATCGGGGTTGGGGGCTCCCTGGCTCCCACTGGCATATCTCTGCAGCTCCTAGGTGGAGGGGCCAGAGGGCTCCGTGCCTGCAGGCCCTGCCCCCGCCGCTCCCCTTGGCTGCAGTTCCCAGCCAATGGGAGCTGCGGAGCCGATGCTTGTGGTGGGAGCAGCGTGCAGAGCCCCCTGGCCTTCTCTCTTCCTAGGAGCTGCAGGGACACATGGAGCTAGGTAGGGAGCCTGCCAGCCCCACCAAGCTCCCCCCCCTCCTCCCAGTACCAGCGGGGGTCCCGGGCCGCACGCCACTGCCTGGCCTCCCCCCCAGCACCAGCGGGGGTCCTGGGCCACCACCCCCAGCACCCGTGGCACCCCAGGACTTGCCTCCACAGAGTACCCCTCCGCCCAGGTTTTAGTTAGGGGTATATAGTAAAAGTCACAGACATGTCACGGGCCGTGAATTTTTGTTTACTGCATGTGACCTGTCCATGACTTTTACTAAAAATACCCGTGACTAAAATGTAGCCTTAGCTATGGGCCCACAGTATGCTGTACAAACAGATAGGAAGATAAAGTCCCTGTCCCAAAGAAACCACAATCGTAAGTTTGTGAGCATAAGACCAAAAACTTCAGACTAAGGTTGCAGAAAAAGCATACAACTTACAAGCAAAATAGTCAGGATTGCAACTGACACACATCCAGTTAGTCCCATCAGGTTTTATTAGTATCTTTATTTTATTTATATTTGAAACTTAGTTTTCAGTTTCAGGGGCCACTTAGAGTTTAAGTCAGGGGAAATGAGTAAGAGAAGGCAGTAGATAAATGAGAGGAGATCATTAGAAGGAGGACTGTCCAACCTCAATGTGCATGATGACCTTAAGAGAAGGTGGTTAGCTGTCAAGGAGGTGTCCTCTGCTAACTATCGAGAACACTGAAGGCTGCTGAATGTGGTAGCTGGGGCTGTATGCAGTTCCTAATCAAAACCGAAGAAAAATGCAACTGGCTGCATATTGGGCCAGGTTGCCCAGCTCTTACAACTGCAGGTTATACATCTGGCACCATGCAACTGATAACGGCAGAATTTACCTACAGTGGTTAGGAATAATAAAAATATTGGACCAAGTCTTTGAGACCAGCCCATCTGCACCCAGTGCCGCCGCCCAGGGGTAAAGGAAATTCCTTACATTAATTTTTCATGTTGTTGCCGTTATGATTACTAATTTCACTTTTTTGCACAGGTAGAGTACAAATCTGAAGGATTTCTGGAAAAAAACAGAGATACAGTGTATGAAGTATTGATTGAAATTTTGAGAAACAGCAAGGTTAGTAAATTCATCATGGCTGATTATTCTACTAGAGATACCAGAATTCTTGTGGAATATGAATAAAGATTAAGATGAAAATACTTCGATCTAATGTTATTAAATTAAAAATGCTATACCTGAAAACTCTTACAATGGATCTAAAATAATTCCAAACTGTATACTTTTAATTTCAAAGTGACACTGCAAGTTAAAAGAACACTATTTAGACTGATTCTTATGTATAGTTGCCCTGAAAGTTAATATTTTTAAGTATTTTTGTATAATGTTCTTCATAAACAATTTTTTGAAGCTTGAAACTGAAATCTCAGTTTATTAAAACTGCTCTTTTTTCTTGAGGTGTATGCAAACTGATCTGTTGCGTAGCTTATCATGTCTGCTGGCACTGTTTATTTTTAAAAGGAGACAAAAATAATGGAAAGGCATAGAAAGAATTACATTGACTTTCAAGCAGATGTAAGATGAAAACCAAAAGAGCTTTATCACTTTTTGGCCTACTACTCTTGACTATGCAGCTCTATTGTTAAGAATCTAACTTAAGCTGACAAAGAAAAACAAATTTATTAATTTTAAATAACCTTTTTAAAATAACATGAATAGTCTGAATTTAACCCAGTCATGTAATCACGTCCACGTGGGTGTATCCCTGTACCCCCAAACAATTCCACTGATGTCAGTGAGACTCCGTGCAGGTCTAATTGCAGGCTTCGGGTCTTTGTGAAATGAAGTCCAGCAGTAATTGCTTCCTAGTTAGTTATGAATCTTAAATCAAAGGGTCCAGTCTCAAAAGCTACAAGATTTGGCCTAAGATCTGAGACTAACAATGTCTGTTCTGTCCTGTACATCCATTATTAGAATTCTTATATTAAAACATTATTACAATTACTCAGTGTTAACTGTGATCCTTTCTTTTATGCTTTTAGTTTCATCTGTGTGCAAACTTTTTTCAAGACCATCCAGTGCCCATTTCACCCTTCCGGTCAACTATAACAGTCAAATCTGCAAAAACGGTGGTCAAGCCACCTAACAAACAGTTCCGGACGACGGTTGGCAGTAAGGTATAGAGTTTAGTTCAAGCTCTAAAGACTCACGGTTTTTAACAATAGAGCAGCGGTTCTCAAACCGTGGGTTGGGACCCCAAAGTGGGTCGTGATCCCATTTTGATGGGGTCGCCCGGGCTGGCTTAGACTTGCTGGGACCTCAGGCCGAAGCCCAAGCCCCACCGCCCGGGGCCAAAGCTGAAGCCCGAGAGCAGCGGGGCTCAAGTTACAGCCCCACCCCACCTAGGGCTTCAAGCCCTTTGGCTTCGGCTTTGGCCCCACCCACCCAGGGTGGTGGGGCTTGGGCTGGCTCAGGCTTCATTCCCTCCTCCTGGGATATTGTAGTAATTTTTGTTGTTGGAAGGGGGTCACGGTGCAATCAAGTTTGAGAACCCCTGCCCCTAGAGGTTTCCAGTTCAGTCCCCGACATCAGCCAAGAGGGGGGTGGCCATGATGCTTCAATATTCCTCCTAAAACAGCACTTTTTAGACACAACAAATCCTTCATCTTGGCAGGGGGCTAGACCAGATGACCCTTACAGTCCCTTCTAACTATATGGGTCTATGATTCTATGAAGTAGAAAATATTGGTGATGTGCGGGCATTCAGAAATTTGTACTTGCGGGGCGTGAGATTCAGATTTATTCATAAGTGCATATCTGGTAATATGGTATTTAGAAACATTATTCTAGGATGTCTAGTGTGCTGTACAGCTAGGGATAGCCCCAGCTACTAGAATCCCAGTTTTGTGTGCAAGTGGGTGTGTTTGTGTGTGAAAACATTCAGGGTAAATAGTGCCAACATTTTAATGATCAGAACTCTGAGAGGACTGCTGCCTATATTTTTGTCACAGTTTCCAGTTAGAGACTAAATCAGAATCAAAAGTCAAAGATGAATTACTTTGATGGGAATGTTAAATTAGCTAAATTGTTACCTTAATATTTTCTAGTTCCGCAGTTCTTTGTATTTACTTATGGAAACGCTTAATGCAACCACTCCTCACTATGTACGGTGCATAAAGCCAAATGATGAGAAGTTACCATTTGAGTGAGTACACTAGTGCTGTTGAAATACTATGTTATCTTTAATATAAAGCAGTATTCTAAGACTGAATATATAATCTTATTTTTCAGATTTGCCAAATATCAGTCAAGTGTTATTAGCTGAAGTTTACATATAGAATGTATTTTATTCCTGTAAAGATTACTAAAATAAAACAATTTAATATTTTTATATAAACAATGAATGTTACATGATTCACCTGGCCATAGTTATTAAGTCACTGGAAAATTCTCTGAGTTAAAAAGTTTCAAGCCACGATTTTTTTTTGTTTTGTTTATTTGCTATAACATTTTTGGAGGGAATGCTGACCATTTTAGTTTTAGGTGGGTAGATATTTTGTATGGGTGTGCTTGATCTTCTATGACATGGATTAGTATAGTTGGGTTTCTGGGAGAAGTCGTCGCTACTTCATACTAGCTTCTCTTTTAACAAAAATATTTAAAAAGGTGTTAGCTCTTTTCTATGAATGTTTCTATGTGCAATGTCAATCACATCCAAAATGTTTGCCTTCTTCCCAAAATACTTACAACACGCACTGAAATAGTTGTGAATAAGAAGAACATTCTTAATGTTATGTGTATGTCAAGTGCTTCAGAATTCCCATAGCCAGCACTGCTACCAATAGCTTTTAAATTGGAGTAGATTTTAATCACAACAAGCATGCATGCAACCATTAATGAGTTTCATGTGCAGAGATGCAGGACAATCTCTTGGCTCAGAGATACGATGTCTGTTAGTAGTGCAGACAGATACATGCATTGACAAGGGAGATATACACCCTAATTCTGCCTTCGTGGTACCATGTTACACAGCCACAAAGATCTGTTGTTCAGGAATTGGCATTCTAAGGAGTGCTTAAATAGGCTTTGAAAACATAAAACACTTTATTAAAGTTGCTAGTGAGAATTTACCTGTATGTATGTTTTATATATTGAGAATACTGTCTGATTCTGTGCCATTTGATAATATACACTTTCAAGTTTAGCACTGAAGGGAACAAAGCCTCTGTAAGAGAAAAATAAATGTATTGCTCATTTGTCTTTTGGGTGGAAGCCCTGAAGTTTAATTTCCATGTTTTTTTCCATATAAAGAATTTGGGTCAGACATAAGATATCCTGAAAACTCCCTTGGGACCCTGAGTGCTTCAGGCATGAATAGAAATACAGAATGGTTTATATTTCTTCATTTGATCTAAATATTATCAAAGTAGTATTCATTCCATTAAATACCGTTTTTATGAATAAATTCTGATACCAGAAATCCTAGAAATGAAATACATTGTTGTATGGCCAGATCTTGCACACACTTGATCAGTGGGTACTAAATTCTACACTCAGTAGTGTTTGCAGGACTAGGCCCTTAATATAAAAGGTAGGGAGAGGTGTGGGGGGGTGGGGGGGAACATTATTATATAATTCAGAAATATTTAACACCTACAATTTTGTTTTGTTGGTAAAGAACCTCTTAATTAAACTGTGATATCTCCAATTATGCATACAGGTACTAATCTTTGCAAGAAGTACAAACGTTATAGTTAAATATGGCATATAAAAACTGGAAGAAAATAATGTATAAGTTCTGTTCCCTTAGGTTTAACTCAAAAAGGGTGGTGCAGCAACTGCGAGCATGTGGTGTTTTGGAAACCATTCGAATTAGCGCCCAGAGCTATCCATCCAGGTACGTGACTTCTCCTTTTTCTTGAATACGTATATTTAGAGCTGATGAAATAATTTACATTCACCAATTTTTCATTTTATAGGTGGACTTACATTGAATTTTTCAGCCGTTATAGCATTCTCATGACGCAGCATGAACTCTCTTTAAGTGACAAGAAAAAGATTTGCAAGACTGTTTTGCAGCGGCTAATCCAGGTTAGCGTTTCTGTTCTGTGCTGTCATCTGTTATAAATAAGACTACGATTTAGTCATGTGTATTTTTAGTAAAAGTCATGGACAGGTCATGGGCAATAAACAAAAATTCGCGGCCCGTGACCTATCCATGACTTATTCTATAAATACCCCTGACTAAATCTTAGCTGCTCCTGGGAACCTGGGGCGCCGCTGCTCTGGGGAGACCCGGGGGCCAATGGCTGGCCCCTGCTCTGGGGGCGGGGGCAGGATGGCCCTGGCCACCCGTTGCTCCGAGGACTCTGGGGAACACTGCTCCGACAGCCTCCGGGGCCACCCCTGGGACCGCTGCTCCGGGATCGCTGCTCTGGGATGGCCCCCGGGCCAGCCACTCTGGCCGCTGCTTGAGTGGTCCCGGGTCCAGCTGCCCAGGGCTGCCTGAGCAGTTGAACCCAGGATCGCCCCAGCCGCTGCCAGTGCGGCTGGGGCCAGCTGCTCGGGCGGCCCTGGGGTCAGCCACACCTGCAGAAGTCACAGTAGTCCCAGAAAGTCACGGAATCCATGATCTCTGTGACAGACTCGCAGCTTTAATTATAAATACAAAAGATCCAATTCACAGAAGTATTTATTCTTTAAATATGAATGATGATTTAAATATTATTTACCTTATTATTAGGTAGGTCATTTAATCAGCTGTGATGTAGTGGATTGAGCACAGGGCCTTTGTTCTTTTCCATCGGCCACTGATTCAGTGTGAGCAAATTATTTAACCTTTCGGCACCTCTGATTCCCTATCTGTAAAATAGGTATAATGATACTTTACCTGTCTTTGTAAAGCATTTTAGATCAAGGAAAAGAAAGTGCTACATGCATGCTAAGTATTTATTTTTTTATATATTCTAATGGGCCTTGCATGGTGGAATACAGTAAAGTGCAGTGCTGTTCTAAGAATGTGTTATCTTGCAATCAAACTCTCTGAAGCCAAAGCTTTAATCCTAGCAAGTTCAGCTCAGCTTTCCATCCTCTTGAACTGGATAATTGAGTTCCTTGCAGTTTACTGTATGCGGCTTCTTTCATCTTAAGACTTCCGAAAGCAGCCTACCTGCTCTAAACATTAAGGATCCCATGACACATTTTGCACCTAGGCTATTCCTGGCTGAAAATATTTTCTTCCCTCTCTTCCATCATTCCTGTGTGATGTATATTCACATTACACCAGTTACTTGTAGTCCTTCAGCTTAGAGGTGACTGAACTTCAGCTGAAGTATAAATACAGAGAGCCAGAAGCTGCCTTCAGTTACACCCAGAGTCAGTTAATGGTGTAACTGGGAGGAGAATTTTGGCCATAGTTTGTCAGACAGTTACATCTCAAAGCACTTTACAAGTGCTGTGTGACTATAAAATATATAAAACTGACCCTATGCAAATTCCTCAGTCTCTTTTAGCATTTAGGTCCCTAATTTTTGAAGCAGAAAGATTGTGGAGAGAGCACAGTGATCAAATATTTCCCCAAATCCGTAGGGAGGATGTTTGTCATTAACTGTGTTTCTGCCATTTTGGCATAGCTAGGCTACAGTTATTTACGCCCGTTCCACTGCCCCCCAAAAATGAGAAGAAGATTGCAGATTATAAATAAACCTGTGGTTTTCTTTTGCAGGATCCTAACCAGTATCAGTTTGGGAGAACAAAAATTTTCTTTAGAGCAGGGCAGGTTGCTTATTTAGAAAAACTGCGGTCAGATAAACTGAGACAAGCATGCATCGTGATCCAAAAGAATGTTCGAAGCTGGCATCAACGGAAGGAATTCCTCCGTATAAAACAAGCAGCTGTTACAATACAGCAGTACTTCCGTGGACAGCGGGCTGTACGGTACTTCATAATAAATCAGTTTGCTATGAGGGCACATGTGAAGAGCTCAGACTCATGCCTGGCATTTACATGCAAGTGTAAATATGGGGGAGAGTTTAAAATTGTAATCCAGGTTACCACTTGGCTGTTGAATGTATTTATGGACCTGAAAATTCCTGTGTTGTATTATAGATATTCAGGAAGTACTCTGTCAAATTTCAAATGCTGTGGGCATATCTCTGAAGGTCTAGATACCCCTAAATAACACATAAGGGAGCTCCCTGATTGATGCTGAGTGGCTTACTAGTGGGTCCAAAGTAACTGATCTGCTTCAGAAACCTAGAAGGGGTCAGGCAGGCCACACAAACTAGCTTCCTGTTCACTTGATGTCCCACACCCTCCTGTGTGCCAGGACCATGAAAGCTTTTGCAGCTCTGAGGCTGCAAAAAACCCACACAGAACATGCTGTCAGGGAGAACTATGGCTGGAAATGGGAGGGTTCAAAGACAACTGTGTGGGGTTGGAAAGGTCTGGGATGTTCTTCTGCCCCCTCTGCTGAGATTGGTCAGGGAGGAAGGTGTCTTCAGGGAAGTGGGCTCCTGTTCCATGGTTATCCACTGCATTTAAGAGCTGTCATTCAGCACTAGTGTAGCAACCTGTCCCCTTCACAGTCTCCCTTACTGATTTTTCCCCAGCTGTCACAGTGAGGGGGACCAGCTGCCTAACAGGATAGTGGGGGGAACACAGCCTCCCCAGATGTCACTCCCCACTGAACCCAACTCTGTGTGTGGCTGTGAAGGAAGCTGGAGTACTGGAAACACCACAGATGCCCCTCAGAGGGGCTTCCCCCCACAGGATTTGATTAGCACTCTGCGCACGTGGGCTGTGCCGGACCAGGCAACAGGGCTCTGTGCCCACTTGGCACTTGAGTCACAATTTGGCTCTGTATGTTAGACTTGTTTTCAGGAATAGTCCAAATTAAAATATTACTTAATGTGAATCCACCTCAGAGTAGGGAACACCCCTAATTTTAGATCCAAATTCACCTCCATCTGCTGTGACCTCACTTCCATCATTTTAAATTACTTACATTACAAATATTCACTCATGAAACTGGGACTATAGACATGTCATTTAGTTAGAAGTATTGATCCCACATAATCATAGTTATCTTATCCTATTTTGGGGGGGAGGGGGTCCAACCTTTGGGACTTGAGAGGATGAGCACAAGGAGTCTAATATCAATTAAAAATAACTTTATTTTCTTTCTAATTAAGGCAAGCTATCACTGCTACAGCTCTAAAGCAAGCATGGGCGGCTATCATTATTCAGAAGTACTGTCGGGGATATATAGTCCGTAAACTTTGCCAGCTCATCCGCGTGGCTGCTATAACAATTCAAGCTTATGTGCGAGGATTTCTAGCAAGGAAGAAATTCCAAAAGGTACAGCCATTTAAGAATTTGACCAAGATCCCAGTGTTTGGGAACTTTTGTGTTATAAAACGGTGGAGGCAAACTCTAGTGATGCTTAATGCTGTATCTTTGACATGAGGGACTCTTGAATACTTCAGCATGTGGATGAAATGTTCTAGTTCATAATTTCAAGCACTTTACAATTTTTAAAATGTTGGAGGTAGTGTGCTTTGATTATTCCAATGGTTTGGATGTGCAATTTTAATATGTTTCTATTTTAAGTGTTAAAATCCTAACATGGTCATTTATCCCTGTAGCTAGAATCACAGAACATCTGAACAGATGTTGGTTGATCCACCAGATAATTGTATCAAGTATTAGAGGGGTAGCCATGTTAGTCTGGATCTGTAAAAAGCAACAGGGAGTCCTGTGGCACCTTTAAGACTAACAGATGTATTGGAGCATAAGCTTTCGTGGGTGAATGCCCACTTCGTCGGATGCATGTAATGGAAATTTCCAGGGGCAGGTATAATAGATAATTGTAGGAGTTTGTTGCTCTCTTGTTTTAAAGATGCTCAAGGAACACAAGGCTGTAATTCTTCAGAAATATGCCCGTGCTTGGCTTGCAAGACGCAGATTTCAGAATATTCGGCGATTTGTGTTGAATATCCAGCTTTCGTACAGAGTTCAGCGACTGCAGAAGAAACTAGAAGACCAGGTAGATGACAAGAATCCATTCATGTTTTGTATTAATTTTCTTTCAATGCATTTCTTTTATTGCGAATCAATCACATTGTGAATTAGACATTTACACTAATAATCATCTGCAGTTCATTAGACAAGAAAAATTTGCATAAGGGATATGGACCCTGATAAGGGCACAAACAACCACAAATTGTCTTCCCATACAGGCACACTATTCTATATTTGTCCATTATGGGGCTTCCTTGTACCTTTTGAAGCATTTGGTACTGGCCCCTCTTGACAATGGGATTCTGGACTAGAAGGGCCAATGGTTAGATCCGATGTGGCAGTTCCTATGTATGCTGCAATTGTTCAGTCACATCTCTTTGATCCTGTTCACACTGGGATCAGAACCATATTAGCTGCAACTCTGTTTAGATGCATTTGCTGTTTTGGGGGTTCTAGCATGGTTTTCTTTCAGGGTAAATTTTTTGAGAGCCATATTAGCCAAACTGGTTCTAGAATATGGCTTTAACCTCATTTTCGGACAGAATTTCCCTGGTTGTGGTGAGCATAATTGAGCAAGGGGAGGGGTCAGGCAGTAGATTAGTTGTTTTCTCATAACTGAGGCAAAGTTAGGTGGTAAATTGCTTTTGTTGTCCAAGTATTACTTGATTCTGTTCCTAGAGATCATTCTTTACTAATAGTGTTCCAAATCCAGTTTTAAAAAATTGAGAGAACAAATATTCAATTATTAGAGATCTCCAATGAAAGACACAAAAGGTGGGCTTTGGTAACTGATGGAGGGATAGAGCAAAACCTGTTGCAACTGTTTTGGGAAGGGAAATGTCTGTGTGTATTACACTAATAATATAAGTTACTAAACAGAATGGAACAAAACTTTAATTTGGTTTAATATTAACCTATGTTTGTTCATTTTAGAACAAAGAAAATCATGGCTTACTGGAGAGGCTGACTCACCTGGCTTCAACTCATGGAAATGACCTAGATACAATCCAGAAACTTGAATTAGAGCTTGAAAAATTAGCCACACAAAAGAGAACCTCTGAGGAAAAAGGAAAGAAATATAAGGAGGACACTGAACAGGTTAATCTTCCTGTTCCTGGTGGTGGTTGCAATATAAGATAATTTATTAAGTCTTTTAGTTACTGTGACAATGGGTTTATATAGTGCCTGATCCTGAGAGTTGTTATGCATCTGCAACTTCCAACAAAGTCTGCAGTTTCCTTTAAACTGTAAGCCCTCGGTTTTAATGAGAGATTTTTTTGTTCCTTGTTAATTTGTGTATTTTATTAACGTCTTATGTTTGCAGAAACTCTCAAAACTTGAGAAACAGAATGCAGAACTGCAAGAACAGAAAACATTCTTAGAACAGAAGCTCCAAGAGGAAACCAAGGAAATGAAAGGTACAATAAGAAAGCAGATGTAGGGCAGCTTTACAAAGCTGCAGTGGAGAAAAGTCATAGAGCCAGCTCCTCAGCGGGTGTAAGTGGGCATAGTTCTATTGAAGTCATTAGGGCTGCATCTGTTTATTATAGCTGAACATCTGGCCTTTACTTACTCATCTCTGAAATGCTCTATTTAGGGTATGTAGTGCCCAGGCTCTTTATTCTAGAGTCCATCTATGTAGGAACAGAAGCTTTCCTCTCTCCCTTGCCTCTTGTCTCTGAGGGAGCTCATAGCATTCCCTTCAAAACTCTTCTCTTTGCTTGTTTGATTCTTTTAATATATTGCTCTTAAAAATCCAAGTTCTCTTGAAAGGTTAGCACGTGGAACCAAAGTCTGTCATGATATTTTAGAACCCATAGCCTGTTGATTTCACGTTGTTTTAGAACCCATAGCATGTTGTTCTCAGTGATACCTGGTGACAGAACAAGGAGTAATGGTCTCAAGTTGCAGTGGGGGAGGTTTAGGTTGGATATTAGGAAAAACTATTTCACTAGGAGGGTGGTGAAGCACTGGATTGGGTTACCGAGGGAGGTGGTGGAATCTCCATCCTTAGAGGTTTTTAAGGTCAGGCTTGACAAAGCCCTGGCTGGGATGATTTAGTTGGGGATTGGTCCTGCTTTGAGCAGGGGGTTGGACTAGATGACCTCCTGAGGTCCCTTCCAACCCTGATCTTCTATGATTCTATGATTTGTCAGAACTTGCTTATGCTGTGGTCCTGCAGCTCAGGATTAATGTGGTTATATGTGATACGTTAATTCAAAACTAAACTATCCAAAGAATTGCTTGTTAAAACAAAAACTCACGTTCATGATCTTAATTTTTAATTTACTCTAAATGTTCACGGGTGCATGAAGAGCCTTCAAATATAAAAAATGTTTCCACAGATAAAATGGATGACCTCACAAAACAACTGTTTACTGATGTACAACAAGAAGAAAGACAAAGAATGTATGGAATTTAAGTTTAGTAGTTTTAAAACTACATTTTTCTTACTCTCTCTGCCTTTCTTTCTCTTTCTGAAAATGTTTTATGCATATGTAAACACAAAAATCGTTCAGTTCTCCAAGGCTATTGGGGCATATATGTCATGCGCACAGCCAGCTCTTCCTGTTTTTTTTTAATATATATATATATATATATATATATATATATATATATATATATATACTCACACTCTCTCTCTCTCTGACCACCAACATTTCAAAGAAATAAAGGGCATTTGCTTGAAAATACAGGACAAAGCTTAGTTTTAAGGCACGGGCCCTCGCTACACAGAGTGTTTCCATTTGTGTCCAAAACCACATAGTTTGTTCACACATTATGACTCTTTGTATGATTGTTGCTTGAAAACATACCTTTTTATCTGAAAAGATGCTTCACAGTAGCTCCTTAATGGATATGATTTGTAGAACATTAGGCACCAAATAAGAGACATCCCGTAAAATACAGGGAAATGTGGTTACTCAACCTCCCCAAAAGTTGGAAACCCTGTGTCCTTCTCAGGTGTATCTGGTTCCAGCTATAAGTCAGTTTGCAGCATGCAATGAGGCTCTTCCTCCTACTCCTCCAATCTTTCCTTTTCCCCCAATTCCCTCTGACCTTGCAAGCCAGTCTGAGGGCTTGTCTACACTTACCAGGGGATCAATGCATCGGCGGTCGATTTAGCGGGTCTAGTGAAAACCCACTAAATCAACCGCGGATCACTCTCCCGTCAACTCCTGTAGTCCACCAGATCAAGAAGAGTAGGGGGAGTTGACGGGAGACACATCGCATAGTGTGGACCCTGCGGTAAGTAGATCTAAGCTACGTCGATTTGACTTGCGCTATTCAAGTAACTCAAATTGCATAGCTTAGATCGAATTTCCTGTGTAGTGTAGACAAGGCCTGAGTGAAGACTGTCTCCACCAGCTGGGTCTCACAGGGAGCTAGCAGGAAAGACAAGGATTCTTGCGCTGTATTACTGGCTGGGGGTACATCTACACAGGAAAAAAAAAAACCCGCCAGCAGTGAGACCCTCCTCTGTGACAGGGTTTCAGAGCCCGGGCTCCAGCCCAAGTGGGAATGTCTACACTGCTATTTTGAGTCCCATAACACAAGCCTGAGTCAGTTGACCTGGGCTCTGAAACTTCCCCGCTCCCCGCCACTGTAGACTTTTTCCCTTAGACATACTTTGTTCTGCCTCTGAGCCCTCTACCTCAGTCCCCATAGCCAGGTGGATGTAGGGAGGCCTGGGCACATTCCTGTCATCCTCTCATCAATTTTGCAGATGATTCTGAGAAGCTAGGCTGGGATTTTCAGAAGTGCTCAGCATTGGCCTAACTCTGCTCCCACTGAAGTCATTCAGAGCAAAGTTAGGCTGACACTGAGCACTTTTGGAAATCCCACCCACCTCATTTACCTTCCCGACCCATCCCTCATTTTCTCAAGCCCAAGTTGTGGTGGAGGATTCCACCAAGTGTCTTCTGTGACATGTACAAGGGAGAATATGTCCCATTATTCTTAGATACCTTTAGTAACTTTCTGTACATTAAAAGGTTGTTTTTTTTCCCATTCCTGGTTATTAGGTCAGTAAGTGATATTAATAGTTGACATTATTTCCCCTCTATTTTTAGTCCCACCTAATATTTTTTACTCCTTTATACATTTTATGCTTTTTTTCAGCTGAAGGGTGCACCTTGTCCATCATTCCAGCTGATCCTGTTTCAATGGCTATATCTCTATATGAACTGCAGGTGTAATTTTTGACTCGCATAGACATATGCATGCTAGCTTTGACTGAGCTAGCGCCCTAAAAACAGAATTGAAGCTGCAGTGATGTGGGCAGCAGAACATTCCGATAGTTGCAAGTGTAGACGTACCCATAGCCTTCGGTCTCCAAAACTGCAAATCAAATGAAAAAAACAGAACAAAACACTTTTTCACATGGAGATGGGTTTTTAAAAAGTGCTTTTTTTCTGATTCCATGCAGAATACTTGAGAAAAAGTTCCAAAATGAGAAGCAAGACTATGAAAAAGAGATTGAGTCATTAAAGGGAGAAATTAAGACTCTCAAAGAAGAGAAAATTAAGCTGCAAGATCAAATTCAGGAAGAACATATCATTCAGGATGACTTAAAACTGGAAGTAGGACAACTTAAAAAACAGGCAAAGGTAGGAGGAATGTTTAAGTAAACAAAACCAGGGATGGTCCAGTTTATTTCAGTTTCTTCTCTACATACTGCAAATAGAGAATTTCAGTGCTTTATCAATAGTGCATTTTTTCTGTTTTGTTGTTTATGTACAGTACATTTTAAAGCAAGTTGTGGTTGGTAAAATCTGATTGAGGCAATAGTGTATATTTACTGTTGGCTTCAATACACATTGAAAAACCAGACGCACACACAATTACTCTCATTTTCACAAATGGCAGCTGGTTAGTACATTTATTTGACTGTAAAATCTGAAAATTGCACTTCTCACAAACCCACTACCAATTAAAAACAAAACAACAAGAAAACCTGTATCTATTGTCCTGCTGAAAGGAATATTCATAACCTAATTCTGCCCTCAGAATAAGCACAATTTCAAATGTAGCCAATGAGAACTGTGCATATATATTGGAGGACTGAATTGGACCTTAAACATTTGTCCATTAAAATATGTGAATCAACTTTTGGAAGAAGGTATTAATTCATTAGGAGGACTTTTCCTAAATATAATTTATTCCCTTTTTTAAACAGAACCTGTTTGTGTGTGTGTTTAAAAACAGCAAAATATTCTTCCTTTGAGTCAAATATTGTAAAATAAATTTTATATATATATATATATAATATATATATAATATGCTGTGTCAGAATCTTACTATTAGGTTCTCTCATATAGGAGAATATTTGGGACAGCTGACTGGACTGATTTAAACAGAACACATTTTAAATCTTGTGGCATGCTGGTCAAACCATTGTTAATTATAATACTGTTTACAACTTAGTCGATATCTGGCCCATCTTAGTCACTCATTTTTATCTCATTGGACTCCATCTCATTCTGAAAAAATTGTCCAATTTAGATGATACCTGAATTGCAAAAGGAAATTGAACTACTCCAGACACAGAAAATGGATGTGGAAAAGCAGGTCCAATCCCAGAAGCGAGAAATGAGAGGTAATTGACAACTATGAAATTCAGAGCATTTACAAACATTTACGATTCTGTTTTAATTGATTAAATGTATATGTTTAGTTGTGTCAGTTTTTCTAGCTATATTACAAAAAGTAAAAACACTCAGAGGTCAAAACTTCTCAAACAGACATTAAAAACCAAACAAACAACAAAACCCAACTAAACCCACCATGAACTCCATCCCATCAGCCACATTATCTTCCACCAGAAAAAGCCTGAGGAAAACAGGTGAGTATTGCTGCGTGCTGAATGAATACCAACACCAGGCACTCCTCACCAAGAACACTCTGCTCTCAGTCCTCTCTCATTTAAACAACAGTGTTGTTAACTCAGATGATTGCCCTTGCTTTGGGATCACATGACAGAGGAGTTGGCGTCCCAGCCAGCCAGCACTCAACCCATTTACAGATCAAAACTAACACCTTGAATTTAACTCAGAAATGAATAAGTAGCTAGTACAACTTAGAGCATGGTTATAATGTGCTCTCTAGCCCTGATTCAGCAAGGCACTTAAACGCATGCCTAAAGCACATGAGTAGTCAAAGGGATTACTTGCATTCTTAAAGTTAGGCATGTGCTTCACCGGAGACTGTGAGAAATGCTGCTTAACAAGAGTGCTGCCACTTTCTACACTCGCTGCAGCACCTAATATCTTAAAGGTGCAGCCTCCGTGTAAATCATCTTGCAGTAATCAAAGCACTAAATAGCAAAGGTGTGGATAACTCCAGCAAGGTCCAAATTCAGAAGGAAAGGACATAACTTTCATGTCAAGTGCAAATGATAGACAGCATCCTTGGCATTTGTACCTACCTAGATATCCATAAAGAGATAAGGATAGAACGGAGTCCCTGGATTGCACTCCTTAGTTAAATTAAGTATATGCATCATCCACAAGCAAAGAACTTGGGTGGTTTAGAAAGAGGCTGATGTGATTATTTGTATGACATATATAATCTGAAAATTTAAGGAGAAAATTCATTCTTTACATAATGATGTTTATTTTCAGAAAAGGTGTCAGAAGTTGCAAAACAGTTTATTGAGAGCTATGATGTTGAGGCTGTAAGAAGCAGGTAAAATATATTTTTTCTAGGCTTTTTAAAATTTCAAAACAAACGTCATACTTTTAAGAGATTTAATTTCTTCTTCCATACACATTTTATATTGTCTTGCCTTGTGTTTTAGGCTGTCCATAGAAGATTTGGAACATTTAAATGAAGATGGAGAACTTTGGTTTGCTTATGAGGGCCTGAAAAAAGCCACAAGGTTAGTTTAATTATGTCATGTAATGTAATGTTCATAATTCTGGTCTGAGATTCAGAGGATAAACGGTAAGGGACAGTAATAAGGAAACTGGTCTTATAGTATCATAATGAAAGCATCATGTAACAAGTGAACAAACGTTGCCTAATAGCAGAATAGTTTAGGGCTCCGTCCAGCTAGTCGCACTGTTATGAAGTCAGTGGACAAATGCATGAATAAAATATTACTCATGAATAAAACTTGCAGGATTGAACATTATAAACATTAAGTAAGGATGGTATTTTAATAGTGCAAGTATTAGAAGCATATGGGTATTTTTAATAGCTAGAGAACTTTCCATGGGGATTCATGAGACTAATCTCCATACTTCTTAATGTTTTGATGAAAAACCCAATCTTTTGAGTGGAGAGCCACGGGCTGAAAGGAACAAAAAAGCTCGGACTGTCTTGTGTACATATATTGTGTACAAGAAAACTTTTCCTAAGCTTTGTTTTAAACCAGTCATATCGTTTTTGTTTAGTATTGTACAGCTAGAAAAAGGAAAGATTTTTGACTCAGAAGCCTTTAAGAACAAGTGTTACTAGTGAGATCCATTTATTTTGGGCTAAAACCAAACTGCACATAATTTGGGCATTTTGTATTTTACCATGAAGGTCCTTAATCCACCTGAAATGGTTACTGTCTCTGATTTACATGTCTGCACGTGGTGGTGTTTCTTTAAAGGTTCTGAAGTTGTTAAATGAAATCTCTGTTTACAGACATGAACAATACATTGCATGCATATCAGGAAAGATGAGATAACTGAATAGCTTTGAACTGTATAGTCATAAACTATAACATAAAACTGAAAACTGTTTAGATTGAAGCCTTGTAATGAGAAACAAAGTGTGTGTGTGTGTGTGTGTGTGTGTGTGTGTGTGTGTGTGTGTGTG